GAGCCTCGCACACCCCTGACTCGACCAACACACCCAGCACAGAGTTAAAAACAGTTTTAATGGACACATTGGCTTTGGTCTGAATCCAAGGGCACTTGTGAGAAAGGCAACACGGAGCTCCCCGGGCACGCACAGCCCGGCTGGCCCTGGCTTGGGGGGGGCAGAAGAGCCCCCCAAAACCGCAGGGACGCCCTGCCCGTGGCTGGAGCGGTGCCAGGGCAAGGGGGTAGGTGGACAGGGCGCAGCGATGCCTCTCTGTCCCCCAGGTCCCTTCCCCGCTGCACGGTGCCGGGATGGGCCCAAAGAGGCCAGCACAGGGGAACGCTGCCTCCGAAAGGCACAGGCCTGGCTTTGGATCTCCACTCACCATGGTGCTCCAGGCACATAACAGCACTGAAATTTCATCCCTGGAAGAGGCCCTGGTTTATGCCCCAGGGGGACGCCAATCCCTCCCGCCCTGTGTGGCGCTGAAGCCCAACGGCGTAAATGTTTAATCCTGTATTAAACATTCATCCTGGCATTAAGGGTGGGAAAGCCTCCGCGAGCGCCTTAGGGCCGAGCCAGCCCGGCCAGAGGCAAGCGGAGATGCTGGGAGCTGGTGGCTGCACAGAGCACCACTCCCATCCTGTCCAAACCGACCCGCGGTGCCTGCGACCAAAAATCCCCGCTCCGGGGTAGGGGAAAAGGCTTGAAAATCTGGCACTGCCAGAGCCAAGAGAACAGGAGCAGGTGGGAAGCCAGGGTGATGGTTCCTACCGCTGGTTCAGTGCTCCCGACACTGTGTCCGAGGCTGGCGCTGGGTTCTGCATGCCTGCCCAGGAGGGGTGGGTGAAGACGATGTTCTTCTTCTTGGCCCAGCGGGAGAAGACGGCTTTCTCGGTGATGAAGCGGTGCCCGGCGCGCGGCGCGCGCTCGTGGGCGAGGTAGGTCTTGCACTCGTCCATGCGGCCCTTCTCGAAGTAGTGGTAAGGCACACTGGAGTGGTTCTTCTCCCTGCAGCCTGCAGCGCCAACGTGAGCAGGACGCCCGGCCGACGCCTCCCGCCGGCCCGCACGGCCCGGCCGCCCTGCACCTGCAGTACTGGTCGCTGACCATGCCGAAGACCAGGATCTGCTCGCACAGCTCCATGGCCACGATCATGGTGAACCAGCCCGTGCTCAGGTAGGAGCCGGATTTCAACCTGCCAAGCACAGTGCCAGCGCTGGAGGCCTCTGGCCAGCCCCGCGGGGTGGCCCGTGCCCACCGCAGCCCCCCGTACCTGTTCTTGCCGGTCTCGTTCTGGAAGACGTCGTCGCAATAGGCCATCTTCTGCTCAGTGAACGTGTACATCTGCAGGTCGGGATACTTCTCCATCACCTTGAGCAGTGCCTGGTAGGTCGGGCCCACTTGCTCCCGGTTCAACTTCTTGGGCGGCCCCCAGATCACGTAGACGGTCTCCTGGGACTGCTCGAAGAAGTAGGGCTGGTTCCTCAGCAGCAGTGGCACGCTGGTGTGCGACACCACGCGCAGGGTGCAGCGGGTGCCCACGTCCTCCTCGTAGCCGCGCGTGGGCGCGTGGTTCATGCGCAGCACGCACTCCGCGCCGTCGATGGCCTTCCCCAGGCGCGAGCCCAGCATCTGCCCCGAGCTGGAGACCAGGGCGCAGCGGCGGCACGGCACGCGCTCCAGCGGCTGCGGGCACACGGGGCCGTCAGCAGCGCC